TAGAGAAAAAACGCACCCTTACGTGGCACCGCCCTTGCGAAATTAAAAATAATTTTTTACTGAACCCTTCCCTAAAGCTTTATAATGAACTCCCCAAAGTTTTATGCCTATCGGATGAACGGTGTCACTGCAATTCACTTTTATTATTTTAATATACCGTATATTGAGGAAAATCGCACCCTCCCGTGTTGCCGCCCTTGCGAATATAAGAATTATTTTTTAACAGAACACTTTCCTAGGGTGTTCTAATCAACTCCCTCAAGTCTCATAGCTATCGGGTGAACGTTGTAAAACCAAAATCGACTTTTATTTTTATATACCGTATATTGAGAAAAAACAAATCGTCCCTGCCGGGGCACCACCCCTGCGAATTTGAAAAAGTTTTTAGCGCAGAAACCTCCACAGGAAAATTCTCAACATCTTCCCAAAGTTTTATGGCGATCGTGTGAATTGTGTCACGGCAACTCAATTTTTATTATTTTTATAAACGGTATATAGAGAAAAATCGCACCCTCACCTGGCGCCGCCCTTGTGAAATATAAAATGATTTTTTACAGAACCCTTCCACAATGTGTCCTAATGAATATTCATAGAAACTTCCCAAAGTTTCATGGCGATCGTGTGAACAGTGTCACTGCAATTCACTTTTATTATTTTTATATACCACATGTAGAGAAAAATCGCACCCTCCCGAGGTGCCGCACTTGCAAAATTAAAAAAGAATTTTTGCAGAACCCTTCGCATGAGTGTTCTAATCAACTCCCCAAAGTTTGATGGCCATCGGATGAACGCTGTGAAACCAAAATCGACGTTTATTTTTATTTACCGTATATAGAGAAAAAAAAACATCGCACCCACCTGTGGCGCCGCCCTTGAGAAATTAAAAATGATTTTTGCGCAGAAGCCTCCCCAGGAACATTCTTAACATCTTCCCAAAGTTTTATTGCGATCGAGTGAACGGTGTCACTGCAATTCACTTTTATTATTTTTATATACCGTATATAGAGAAATATTGCACCCTCCCGTGGCGCCGCCATGTGAAATTAAAAATCATTTTTTTACAGAACACTTCGTTTGAATGTTTTAATCAACTCCCTAAAGTCTCATGGCTATAAGGTGAGCGCTGTCAAACCAAAATCGACTTTTATTTTTAGATACCGTATATAGAGAAAAAACAAATCGTCCCTGCCGGGGCGCCACCCCTGCGAATTAGAAATTTTTTTCCCGCAGAAACCTCTTCATGAATATTCTCAACAACTTCCCAAAGTTCGACGGCGATGTGATAAGTGGTTTGGTATTGCATAAAAGACACACACACACACACACAGACAGACACACACATACATTGCTTTATATATATATAGATATATACTTTTTATTTTACAATATAAAAATAGGCACAAAAACACATGTGACTTATTAATATATTTTACCGCATTCAACTCTCTTGCACAATTCTGTCAGATCTCCAGGAATTTTAATATTATTCTGACGTAAAACACCCAGTGACATTTTTTTTCGACTTGAGAACATGGATAAAGTGACATTCATGCACGACAGAAGAAACACAATGGCACCTCGTCTTGCATCAAGAGAAAAAAACTTTTATTTTAATAACCTCCTGTGGTCGCGACATGCCCCACCCAACTGAACATTTTGCTCTATAGAGGACGTTTTTTTTTCAAACACAAGACGGAATGTTGTCTGTAAACATGGTGACCTTGACCTGGTCATGTGATACGTGACAAGCTACATGTCGCTACACGACATTGAAAATGTTTTGACAAGTATACCTGATGATGGTGTATGTTAAGTTTTATTAACTTATTTAAAATAGCATAGATTGTTGTTAAGCACGAAAATTGACTTGCGCTAAATGCTATTTTTATTGAAATTATCGTCCATAATTATATTCGATACTTCAATCTGGCTACATGTTGTCACTAAATTTTATAATTTAAAGCTAAGGAGGAGGCATAAAAAACACTGAAATACCCATTATTAAGTACTCCTTATAGTTTTTCAGTTTCGTATATTCCGTCTACCCAGATATATCAGTTCGATGAGACGATCTCAATACATCTGAAATACATCTGAACGTACATTTAATGTACTTTATAGTACATTTAAAAAATTCAATTTTTTCTTTTACAATACCTCTATTTGCTTTGGAAATTAGTATACTTTTTATACCAGTTGGCTATAAAAAAAAATACGAAAGGCGCCAAATTGTATGCTATTTTTTCCATCACATAATAATTACAATTGTTATAGAGCTAATTAATCCTTTATATCATTATTAAGAATTAATTTTAACCGTTATTTTTACATATGATAATCTCCGACCTTTTAACATTTCATAACAAACATATAATGATGTAAAATGTAAAAATAAGGTTTGGACCTCAACAACAACAAAATTTCTTGTCATTTTACAGTATCAGCATTATTTGAAAACAACTTAAAATGAAATATATTTGTTAAAGCTAAATAATATACTACACTGCGACAATAGTGATGGATTTTCTTGAAAAAATATAAGTAGTATAATACAGTAGGAAATATACGCAGTTGTTGAGAAATAGGAAATGTTTTTTATCAATATTTTCTGAGAAAATTGAACAACGTGCGTTTTATCTGTGGCGTAACTAGGTCAAGTGACATCGTGACATGTTTCAACACATCTCCCCCACCACCTCCCTTTCTGCGAACGACTGTGCTAAAACTATAGTTAATCCTCCTCCGATGAATGAAGACACGATATAAATATATATATATATATATATATATATATATATATATATATATATATATATATATATATATATATATATATATATCAGTAGCCTACTTCACTAAAGTTAAAATTAACCTACTTCCTACTTCAGTAGTTGAACCTTTTATTTTGTTCCAACAAATCAGACGAAAATCTGCTCAAACTCATTTCAGATCGGAATTATTCGTGTTTTTTAAATGTTTGTTTTACATTACTTTATGTTTTCCCGAAATTGAGACAAGGCAGTTAGAAATGTATAAACCATAATGCTTGATTTGTGTAATGGGTTTTTTTGCGTTCGGTATATTTTTATGATTATTTTGTATTTATATTATTAGTTTTGTATTTTTATCTACACATAGCTATGCCATTTTTTTTGTAAGATTTATTTGAATAATAATAAAGCAAAACAATTGCTTATTAATTTACTTAGAACAAAACTATAAATGAGCTTTATGGGCACCCCTATTAGACTATTTAAACGAGGGCAGTAAGTTATGGAAGTAGTGTGAACGTTTACCTATCTTTCACTCTACCACTCATGCAGATTTTAAAAATATTTTTCTGCGCAAAAATCTGTGTTAGTTACTTAAGAACTATCTTTGCTATTGTAGTCCCGGTTTTTTTTTACTTAACCACTATCTAGTTGCACCATAAACAACATGTATAAAAAATAAATTGCATTCTTTCCTTTGGTTCAAGTGTCGTTGTCGTCCCCCCCCCCCTCCCCCACCGCGTTGCGTGGTCTGGCGGCATGGTAGTTCCGCCCCTGATAAAACTGACATTCGTTCTCTATAACTATGGTGTCACGCCTGGGTGGTGTCAGCCGATGCATTCCACCACATCGCCCCACATTGGGACATAAACCTGCTCCAGTAAACTGACAGACACGCTTTTACAATGTGAACATTAAGATTAAACTCCAAGGTTAAGTTGTTTACGTTTTGAAGGTGACCTAAATAATCATGATTATTTGACAAGAAACACGCTTTTTTTCCACGCCATTACATACTTCATGCGATGTCTTTTAATTGTTTGTAATTTGTTGGTGTTGATCTCATCGACACAAACAAGTATTATATTTATAGTTATAGTTATTATGTATTTTAATAAAGTCCAAACACGTCTTATACACACACAAACATGAATATATATATATATATATATATATATATATATATATATATATATATATGTGTGTGTGTGTGTGATGCAGTATTTACTGTATTGTACAGTTGGATGACTGTTTTGGTAACAAATCAGCTCTCCATATTAGCTTATTAGTTTATTCCAGAAACAAATTCAAATTCTTCGTGTTGGGATCTGGGTCAGATCGTTTAATATCATTGCGCAGTGAGTATTGTTCATTTATGAAATCAGTAGAAGATTTACTGTTGTTGTTTTCATATTTGTTCATTTTTACTGTTAAATTATCAATCGTTTCCTCAAAAAAAAATTTCAATATTATCTTTGTCTGCATCAAAAGCCAACTGTTTGCGTGCTAGGGCGGCAGACTTAAATTCTTTCTTAGCTGTGTAAGGATTTTTATTAGCCAGCCATGCTTGAACCTTGGCTATCAGGGTTTCTGCTTGTGTAACTTGGGGTGAGTTCTTTTCATAGCCTTTAGGTCCAAAATGAGTTTGGGCATCTTCTTCTTCTTCTTCGTTCTTAATTATTTGTGTTGAAGGGGATCGAGATTTATCTGCCAGTGAGTTTGAACTCGAGACTTTGTTCGAATTTATCAACCATGAGCTTTTTGCCGACTCGACCACGCCTCCAACACAATTAAGCGTTACGTGTCAACTGGTTATGCGCCAGTTTGGGCATAATTTTGTCTATTTTGTTGTCTAAGGGTGGTTATACTTTGCAATGAAATTGATTAAATCATTCAGGAAATAGATTATAATGAATTTAGTGAAGTATGCTACTAATGTATATGTACACAAAACATTACGCGGGAGCCTTTTTTTCTAGTCCCGCCACCGTATTTACAACAAAAGGAAACTCCGGTGATAAATATAGAGTCCTTGCAAACACGTGACCTAAATCACGTGATACCTAGGTCCGCCGCCACGGCGGTGTACACCTGACGTCAACACAATCAGATGTTCACCAGCGCTGGGCGCATTCACTGTGTGTAAAGAATCGCGCCCGCGGAAAAGGAAAAATACGTAAAAAACTTGAATTCTTAGGAATTGAAGATCCTTATTCTGTTATTGACAGTTTCGTGGATAATATAAATATGTGGCTGAAATTTCTAAATAAAAATACTGTTAGTAATACTGTTTGTGTTTAGAGTTTAAGTAGACGAATCTGATCAAATGCAGTAATATATTATAAGTTATCTAGATCTAGGTAATGTAGATTCTAGATTCTCTGTTAAGTACAAGATTTAGTAGTAATAGATCTAGTACAACCACACTACTGTAGCAAACGTGAGACCACTTAACTCCTACAAAACCCACACTACAACGGCTAATATAATTCATGGGTAATAACCACTGCTGTTCTTAGATCTCAGCCAATCTGGGTAGCATGTTATACAATTTAAGACCCTTATAATTCAGCAGGTAAGTGATCAGACTCATTAATACTGATGTTCAACCCTCATGATGGCCAGCCCCCACCTTTTTCTAGCCCATAATAAAATCAAAGAGAAGTCAGTACCACTGCCCTTCCCTGAAAATTTCTCACCTCCGTGATACCCAGCCCCACAGAGATAGTATCTCATATAATTTTGACCCTCAGGGCCCATCATGGAGATTAAAGGGGAAAGTCTCACTGCTCTCCCCTTAACATTTCTCACCTCGATGTCATGTTAAGTCATTTTTAGAACACGGGGCTTATCAGGGGAAAGCTACACACTAGTATACTAGCTACACACTAGGTGCCTACTGTAAACTACCATGCTGTAGGCCCTATGTAGACCTGCAATTGTATCAATTGTAGACTGGGTGCTTTGTCATTATTCTAAACCATCTCACTTATAATGTATCTAGCTTGATTTGTTTCTTTTATAAACAGTGGATTTTAAAAAATTAGCCTAATCATTAACCAAATAATAATGTGGTTATTTGTTGTTGGCTGGTATGAACTAGATTCTACTACTAGACTACATAAACTTAGTAGACCGATTACTAGATATGCATTTGAATTTAATTAAACTCAGTCCAGTATCAGATACATATTACTGTAAAAAGACACAAATTAGGTAGGCTTTAGTAATTTATCAAAGCCTTCGACTACAATAATATCAACTACATGCTTGTATAAACTTTTTACAATTTAAGTAGCAGATTCTAGCAGAAGGTGGAAGAAAGAAAGAGCCAAAAGAGCGGACTAAATCAAGCAAAAACACGGCAGCAGAAACAAGCAGCAGCCTCTCAATATAACGAAAAGACTAAAGTGGTGAAAAGAAAATTAAGAAATGACAAGAGATTGTTTATAAATGAAATGACAGAGCAGGCCGAAACAGCTGCCAGTAAGGGAGATCTCAAGACGCTCTATGCAACAACCACAGCTCTGAGTGGGAGGAAAACCAATCCCAACAAGCCAGTGAGGAGCAAACATGGTAAACTTCTAACGTCAATTGAGGAACAGTTGGCACGATGGAGATAGCACTTCCAGGAAGTACTAAACGGTCCAGCACCTCAAGATCCACCAGACCTGGAGCCAGGGGAACCCCTTAAAATCAATACCGAGGAAATCACCAGACAGGAAATTCTCAACGCCTTAAACAGTTTGAAGAGTGGCAAGACATCAGGACCAGATAATATCCCAGCAGAGGCATTAAAGCAAAATGGAGAAGAAGTAGTAAATCGACTTCATAAATTACTTAACTTAGTCTGGAACACAGGACGGATCCCAACCAACTGGAAAAGGGGCCTCCTTGTGAAGTTGCCTAAGAACGGTGACTTATCTCAGTGTGGAAAAAGGAGGGGCATTACCTTGTTGTCCATCCCAAGTAAAGTCGTTAACAGAGTTATTTTGGACAGAATGAAAGAGGCGGTTGACCTTAAGCTAAGAGAGGAACAAGCAGGATTCAGGAAGGAAAGATCTTGTACAGATAAGTTAGCCACTCTTAGAATTATTGTAGAACAGACGATACAATGGCAAGCCCCGCTTTACATCTGCTTTGTTGACTTTGAGAAGGCGTTTGATAGTGTGGATAGGCAAACAATATGGAATCTGTTGAGACACTATGGTGTACCTGCTAATTTAGTGGAAATAATCCAGCAACTTTACAAAGGATTCTCATACCAAGTTAGCCTGGGAAACTGTCTAGAGAGTTCCAGGTCAACACAGGTGTGAGACATGGATGTCTGCTGTCGCCCCTCCTCTTGTTGGTGGTTCTCGATTGGGTGACACACACAGCCTATGCCAGTTCTGGAAAAGGTATACAGTGGACACTCACAGGGAAACAAGAAGATATGGAGTTTGCAGATGATCTTGCCTTACTCTCGCACAGGCTACAAGACATGCAAGAAAAAGTTGATGCATTAGGAGCCATCTCTCAGCGCGTAGGTCTCAAGATCAACAAGAAAAGACAGAAGCGATGAGAATTAACAATAACCAGGAGGCCCCAGTGATAATAGACGGAAGACATGTAAATGATGTGCAAGAGTTTGTCTACCTTGGCAGCAAGATCGGCAAAACAGGAGGCACAGAGGAGGACATACGTGCTAGAGTTAATAGAGCCCGCTGCGCTTTAACAGTTCTGCGACCCATATGGAAACGTTCGGCCATATCGATTACCACAATAATTAGGATATTTAACTCTAATGTCAAGGCAGTTCTGCTGTATGGAGCAGAGACATGGAGAGTCTCAAAAGCAAGCACAGCAAAGATACAGACCTTCATGAATAGATGGCTTAGACATATATTGAAACTGAGATGGCAGAACAAAGTGCCGAACATAGAACTATGGAGGAAAGCTAGGCAGGACCCTATGGGTTTGCAAATAAGAAGAGGAAGTGGTGCTGGGTGGGTCACACACTACGAAAGGCTCACCCAAATATTACACGCCAAGCGCTTGAGTGGAACCCCCAGGGAAAGCGGAAAAGAGGGCGCCCAAGACAGACCTGGAGGCGGAGTCTTCTTGAAGAACTAAAGCCAACAGGGATGTCTTGGGAGATGTCAAAATTAATAGCCGGGGATCGGAAGAAATAGAAGCAAATGGTGGAGGCCCTCTGTTGCATAAGGAGCAAAGAAGAATAAGTGAAAAAAAAGTAAAAAAAATTGGAATTAATGGAACAGAAGTATCATAGTGCTAGAAAATGCTATTAGTTAATTAACTGTAATGTTTTATGCCTATCCTCATTTTAAAAGTTCATTCCTTATATTAGTTTTATATTAGTTTCTTTAAAAATGTCATTTATATAATATTTTATTTTTTCAAACAGACATACTTAAATAATAATTAGATTATATAAAACAAAATCTAAGGGAACAAATCCAATTATATGAACAACAACTTCTTGAGCCAAACTCTGTTTATCACGTGATTCAAGTGATGTGGGTAATAAAAATAGAACTCTTTTTAATAAATATAATGTTTTTACTGAAAATTGCATCTGTAAATTAAATAAAAATTAAACTTTTAAGATTTGTATTCTATAATATTAAAATTATTTTATTTACAACTAGCGTACCTGTCCCCGCGCGTTGCCGCGGGAATAGAAGAAAGTCCGAAGAAATATATAAGAAGGGTTATTTAAATGTAAACAATGCCTGCGCTTGGATCATAAATATGGGGACACGCATAAAAACCTTGAGTGTACATTAATCACTCACCGAAATAATGAGGTAGAACACACTTCGGTAACCGCCCATGTGTCAGGGACGAAGAGGGGCGCTCTCAGTAGCCCCCCCCCCCCCCGCCCGATTACACTACCGCATAGACGCAGCGTACGGCCCCTGGCTCCTTAAAACTAACAGGCGCCATGGTGCTATTAGGATAAGCCAGAGTGCTAAATAGCATCCTGTTAAGAATGATGCAGATTTCGTCATTCGCTAAAGAGACACAAATGAAAAGGATTTTTTTCTTTATAAAGTAAAAAAATTATTTGACGTGTTTTAAACATCACTTATACTGATGCAATATGTTAGCGTTACTAATGGTCTATTATCAGATGCTCGATCTCAATTTCTGATTGGATTATTTAAAAATAGATGCTGATTGCATCATTCTCAAAGTGACGAAAACTGTTTGGATTTTTTTACGGACTAAAAGAAACATTCCAGTTAATAATCTAACCTTGGTTAATCTTTCTGATTATTAAAATAAAACGTATTACATGGCCATCAGCGGCCCAGGTGAGTATTTGGGAGTTCAAACTGAAATTTTTATTTGTAGCCAAATCACACCCTACCAGGGCGCCGACGGACACGCCTGATTCAATTTAGTATCGTTTGTAACGTCCCATCCTATCCATTGTCTATTGCACTGTTTAGACCGAAAGTAGTCGCCTTAGCGCTCAGGAAAAAGACCAGGGCGCCAAATCGCATCCTGCCGGAGGCCGCCCATGAAAAATTAAATCCCCCTCCATCCACCCACCCGCACCCTCCTCCCACCACAGAAACCTTCTCGGGAGTATTCATCAACTCCCTAAAGTTTTATGGCACCCGGATAAAATCGTATTCTATTTTTATAAACTAGCCATCGGTACCCGTTTCACGTGAATTATAGGCCTATATATTTTAAAATGTTGTATTTGTTTGTGAAAAATAATTTATGAAATAGTTATTGGTCAAAACGCAATGTGCTTTACTACACGCTGAACGATATTAGTGACAAACCAAAGAAATAACTAATTAGCTAAAAAAACATAACACAGGCACACACTGATTAAGTGACTTAAACGATTCCGTTAAAAATCTGGCTATTCAATCGTCATTATGTTGTTTTTAAGTAATTTGTATTCTTCCTTCCTTCCTTATAAGGAAACCGACTCAGAAGGTTGACTTCCATTAGCCAGGCAGGTCTCAGTGTAGCAAACTCCGACCATAAGAGTTTCCCACACATCGGTCGCTACTTCCGTCGGCTCTCACCGGGCTTTCCTTCTTCTTCACCCATCAGACGCGGGACGTCGTCCTACCGCTTTGTACCCAGCTTGATCGCGGGGGAGTTCGGCCATTCTTTGGACCTAGCGCATACAGTAGTTCTACTCGACCAGATAAAAAATCTCTAGCTGCTGTTGACTACCACTAGCCATTCCGCACCCACTAGGGGGGTCATGGGCTTGGTCCGACCAGTGGCACTCTTCCGAAGCC